ATGCTCTCCATGTCATTCTACTTTGATCCATTCTCTCTAAATGACCAAACCACCTCAACAACCCCTCTTCAGCCCTCTGACTAATACTTTTACTCCACACCTTCTCCTAATTTCCATACTCCGAATTTTCTGCATAATATTTACACCACACATTGCCCTTAGACAGGACATCTCCACTGCCTCCAACCGCCTCCTCGCTGCTGCATTCACAACCCAAGCTTCACACCCACATAAGAGTGTTGGTACTACAGTGGACGCCCGGTTCGCGATACTAATCCGTTCCTGAGAGCTCATCGTAAACCAAAAATATCAGAAAGCGGATAGATTTTCCCCATAAGAAATAATGGAAATCAAATTAATCCATGCAAGACACCCAAAAGTATGAAAAAAAAAACTTTTCCCACATGAAATATTAAGTTTAATGCAATAGAATAGTAATTACAATAACAACAATAACAAATAACAATAAATAACGAAGGAATAATTGACACTTACCTTTAATGAAGATCTGGGGATGATTGATGGGATGGGAGGAGGGGAGAGTGTGGATGGTGTTAGCATTTAGAAGTGGAATCCCCCTCCATTAGGACTTGAGGTAGCAAGTCCTTTTCCGGGGTTACTTCCCTTCTTTTAATGCCACTAGGACCAGGTTGGACCTCTGTTGCACAACATATCTGTCCATAGAGGCCTGTACCTCTCGTTCCTTTATGACTTTCCTAAAGTAGTTCACAACATTGTCAGTGTAATAGTCACCAGCACAGCTTGCAATAGCTGTCTGAGGGTGATTTTCATCCATGAAGGTTTGCACTTCAAGCCACTTTGCACAGATTTCCTTAATCTTTGAAGTAGGCAACTTCTTCAATTTCTCTCTCCCCTCCTCCGAAGCAATTTCCTCAGGTGTGGCCTCTTGCTGTTGAAGTTGATCTACCAGCTCATCAGTGGTTAGTTCTTCATTGTCCTCCTCCACCAACTCTTCCACATCCTCCCCACTAACCTCCAACCCTAAGGACTTCCCCAATGCCACAATGGATTCCTCAACTGGCATAGGCTTCTCAGGGTTAACCTCAAACCCTTCGAAATCCCTTTTGTCTACACATTCTGGCCACAGTCTTTTCCAGGCAGAGTTGAAGGTCCTCTTAGTCACTCCCTCCCAAGCCTTACCTATAAGTTTTTCACAATTGAGGATAGTAAAGTGATCCTTCCAAAACTCCTTTAGAGTCAATTGAGTTTCTGTGGTCACTTCAAAGCACCTTTCAAACATAGCTTTTGTGTACAGTTTCTTGAAGTTGGAAATGACCTGCTGGTCCATGGGCTGCAGGAGAGGAGTGGTATTAGGAGGCAAAAACTTGACCTTAATGAAACTCATGTCCCCACAGAGTCGCTCTGACAAGTCTGTAGGGTGACCAGGGGCATTGTCTAATACCAGAAGGCACTTAAGGTCTAATTCCTTTTCAATTAGGTAATTTTTCACACTGGGGGCAAATGCATAGTGTAACCAGTCATAGAAAAAGTCCCTAGTGACCCATGCCTTACTGTTTGCCCTCCACAGCACACACAAATTAGCCTTGAGGACATTCTTTTGCCTGAACGCTCTGGGAGTTTCTGAGTGATACACCAATAAAGGCTTCACTTTGCAATCACCACTAGCATTGGAACACATCAACAGAGTAAGCCTGTCTTTCATAGGCTTATGTCCTGGGAGTGCCTTTTCCTCCTGAGTAATGTAGGTCCTGCTTGGTAATTTCTTCCAAAACAGGCCTGTTTTGTCACAATTAAACACTTGTTCAGGTTTCAAACCTTCAGCCTCTATGTACTCCTTGAATTCATGCACATATTTTTCAGCCACTTTGGTCTGAACTGGCAGCCTCACCATGCCTAATCACACTATGTATACCACTACGATTCTTAAATCCTTCAAACCAACCTTTGCTGGCCTTAAATTCACTCACATCACCACTAGTTGCAGGCAATTTTTTTACCAAATCGTCATGCAACTGCCTAGCCTTTTCACAAATGATTGCTTGAGAGATGCTATCTCCTGCTATCTGTTTTTCATTTATCCACACCAATAACAGTCTCTCAACATTTTCTAACACTTGCGGTCACTGTTTCGTAATCATAGTTGCACCTTTTGCAAGAACAGCTTCCTTGATTGCCATTTTCTTGCTCACTGTAGTAGAGATGGTTGATTGGGGTTTACTATTCAACCTGACCAGCTCCGACACACGCACTCCACTTTCGTACTTTGCAATTATCTCTTTCTTCATTTCAACAGTCATTAGCACCTTTGTAGAACTTAGCCATACAGATTGCAAAAAGGGCTTGGGGGTTATGATAAGCAGTAACCTTATCGAAGACAGCAATACCTAAGTGTACATAATAAGACAAACAGATTACTGGGATTTATACCAAGAAGCGTAAGCAACAGAAGTTCAGCGGTTATATTACAGCTTTATACATCATTAGTAAGGCCTCACCTAGATTATGCAGCTCAGTTCTTGTTTCCATATTACAGAATGGACATAAATTCGTTAGAAAACATTCAGCGTAGAATGACTAAATTAATACATAGCATTAGAAATCTTCCTTATGAAGAAAGATTGAAGACCCTTAAATGTAAATATTTCTTATTTATAAATTACATACATTGTTTAAGTGTGATAGTGTTGGTGGCAGAAGCCTCCACCGCCACCAACACTGCTTCTCTCAGTGGCGGCCCTTAAACCCAACAATAACACTTAAACCATTTACTCCTCTCATACATTATGACATATTTTATTCCTTCTAGAGTATATATCATGTTTCTGTGTTATTAATATTGTTTATAATGTCGTATTAGATGAATTGTGATAGATAAATAAGCTGTAGAGATGATATTAGCATCATATTGAAGCATAATAAACTTGTCTTCCTCTTGCCTCCTACGTGTCTGTCATATACCAACAAGTCGAGTCAGTAAAGGTAAGTGTGATGTTAAATCTTCATTTACCCATTTTATTAGTGCTTTATATTTATTTGTCATTGTTTTCTATATGTATATTTATATTTAATCTTTAAAAAAATATATTTTTTGTTAATACTTTTGGCTGTCTGAAACGGATTAATTGGATTTCCATTATTTCTTATAGGGAAAATTAATTTGACTAACGGCAAAATTGACTAACAGCTAGCTCTCTGGATCGGATTAATGCCATTGGTCTAGAGTCCGCTGCATTTAGCCAACCTAAATTTGAAACTACCCAAGGTTTTAGCTTCGATAGAACCTTGGGTAGCTTTAAAAAGATATTTGACAAATATATTAGTGGATGGGCCCATTAATAGAATAAATGTACCCAAGCAATAAGCGTTGACAATTCTGGAGTTACAGGAAGCTGACATCGAAGAAATGCTGAACATTGACAGTGATGCACCTGTGGTGCATTCCTTGAATGATGGTGAAATTAGATGAATTGTGATATATAAATAAGCTGTAGAGTTGATATTAGCATCATATTGAAGTATTTTGTCGTGCCTCCTAAGAGCAGGAATTCCGCTGGAACGGATTAATGCCATCTCAATTAATTTAAATGAGGAAAATAGACTCGGCACATGAACAAATCAGGATACGAACAAGGTCAAGGAACGGATTAAATTCGTAAGTCGAGGTTCCACTGCACTTTATTTATACCTGTTTGTCAAATATGCAGTTATTCTTATGCATGTTATGACATGGAATATGAAGTCAACCACATGAGAAAAGTAGTTCTGAACAATGCTTATCAGCCAGTACAGAAGTGAGCCACAATACACAATACTCTTTAAATATGTTCTCCACTTGCTTACTGGTGTGGTTGAGTGTTGTGTAGGATGAGAGATATGTAATGCCAGACAGTTGGATTGTCTGCTTACATCTCACCCTCTGACATGTTCAGCACACATTAGCATCTGCTGCTAAATGTAATTATTGAATCCAAAGTTTTTAAATATTTGCTGCCAAACAGATGTGATCTTTCTATAAAATGAATATGTATACACAAACTGAGAATGACTTTGATAAAGGTTCAGAAAATATATATTTCATCCTTAATAAAAACTATTTATTGATCATGAAAGCTGGTATGTATATAATGAATAGAATAAGACTTACATGTAAGAAAACAAAATAATAGCTACCCAATTTACCTTGAAACAAAGTAATATTATTTGTGATTATTGATGTTATTTAATTTAACATATGTGATTATATGCAACAAGATACCTTGTTATAATAATAACCAATAATATGTAAAGGGGTGGATTGGTAAGCCAGCGGAAGAACTCGGTCAAATGACCAAAAGCTCTAACGGCGGGTCATTATCTGACCGAGACCCGCGTCAGGAAACACTTGTCCTGTTTCCTGACTAACCTTACCTAACCTAACCTTGAGGAGTCAGTTAAAATATGCAGGAAAATTCATAAAGCCAAGAAAAATCTTTCAACTTATCATTTGGAACCCCTGATGTTGCCACTTTACACAGAAAATCTGTCATGAAGTTGTGGTGTTTTGTGTCACACTGTATTGAATTATTTGATAATGAAATACTAAGTTGTAGAATAAAACCGTAATACTATTGTATAGCTGTTTCTCTTGCCTTTCTGTGGTGTATAACAGTTTTCAAATAACTTTCCACAGTTAACACAGGTTTAGGCAAATGTAAAACAACAGTTAGAAGTGGCTGTCCGTACAAGTAACTTGTGTCGTGCTGAATTTAAAATTGTGTAAAATTTATTTTTCAATATTTTTGATCTGTTTGTAAGAAATATCTTTAACGTATGTCTTTGTAAGGTATAGAAAAATGTTTCAAACCTTTCGGATGATTATTTATAGAAAGTAACATATCAGAAAGTTAAGTATTGTTGTGAGTGCAGTGACCCAGTACTGGAGTAGGAGACCTGAGTATTAAAAAACAAGACTAGAAACCCTGTGATATTTACCTTAATTACTTTATTCAGACCAAATTATTGCTTAGTTAATTTTTTTTTTTTTTCAGATATCACAGCTTTATCGTGGACTACAAAAGATTAAATGAGGACAATCCAAATAATTCAAAATTAGAAACCTTGAAACCACTCTTCAGAAGAGCACTCTACACTATTGGTCTCCTCTTAAAAAACTTTGACCTCAAAGATGAAAAAGTCAGATGTGGATTATCGGTAAGCAGTGTAAATGTTTAGCTTGAAGATCTTCCATCAATGGCACCTTAGGTTGTTGCCTTCTTCATTATTTGTTTTTAATTTCTTAACCATTTACTTATTAGTTTTTTGTCATTTGTTTTTTTATTCAAGCTGCAGCAGCTGATGTTTTATTATGGGTTTACTTCATTTTTCCCACAGAGTTAACACCCCAAGACTAATAATTTATGATACGAAGCCTTCACTTTTTTTCATTACTTCTTATTTCCATGTATGCTTTGAAGTGTTTAAAAACATTCTGCATGGTCAACAACAATTTAATGGAGTTCCACTATACACAAATGAATATTATTTGATTTTTTCCTCATTTATATAAGAATTTATTCAAGCAAACTTTGCTACTGTATTACCTAATATCAAAGATTTCTTTAATGCATAATAGTCCTAATTCATTTATTTTTTAAGTTGAAACATATATCTTAGCTCTGTGAAGATAACTATAAAAAATAGTTTTATATTAATTTTAGGTTATTATAGATAGGTATCTGTCATGTGTTTGGGAACTCTCCATCCATGATAGTGTTGTGACTTGGTGAGAATCTACCACCAGTGAAGAACAAAAAGGCACAGTACCATGACTGGAACAATACACAAATAACCTGCACATAGGAGAGAGGAGCTTGCGATGACATTGCAGTCCGTCTTGGACCACTTAGAAAGTCACACAGACAGGAAGGAGAGGAGGAGCCAGTATATATAGGCAAACTGGCAGGGATAGGGCAGGAGAAGTAGGAGTAGAGGTAGAGGTAAGGCAGGAAGTTGTTGTAGTAGCCGTGAAGGTCATGTAGATGTCCTCTGAACCAAGATTCCATGATGCTGCAACACCATGGAATCTTGGTTCAGAGGACATCTACATGACCTTCTTCACGACTACTACAACTTACCCATCCCTTTGGGTATGACCTACTTCCACTGGGGAATCCTGCCTACCAGTGACTATGCCCTTGTCTGCTACCCATCCCTTTCCACCTGACAATTAGTACATAAATGCCAGCCTCCTTGCCTGTACTCCAGAATCTACATGACTATGGTGCTCTTCACACCAACTCCAAGGCTGGGGGACTGATTACCTCATCTTTTGTATGAAGTTCCACTGTCTTCAAATTTTGTCCTAGACATTTCGCCACTGGGTGGCAAAACGTCTACAATAAAGATACCCAGATGTTTGCACGTGTCTTAAATTTTCATCTTGTTGGTATTGTATACCATTCTTGTACACTGTGATCTCTAACATGACAGAAAAGAGCATTGTTGGTGTCGGGAAGCCTAAGGCTACTTTTGTTATACATGACTTAACTTGTATGAACCTTAGTCTTGTCTTTGTCTCTGTAGAAGCTGCCATTTCCCATTACATTGTCAAATGCTCCAAACTTCAGAACACACATGACTAACCTGACCATATCACGGGGCGGAGTTAGAACCCGCGATCAGAGAGTCTCAAAACTCCAGATGATTGCGTTAGCCACTGGGACAGCTGGCCACAATAAGATTCATCCAACTAGGTATATTTATACACCATAGGAAGGTTAGCATAGGCACCACTGTGACCACAAATGCAAGTTTTTACAGACGAATCTCCAGCTAGCGTGGCTGTGACAAGCTCAAGTCCCCTCAAAGCCGTCAGCAAGATGGCTTTTTCTTGTTTTGGGATTCCTTTCTTCTGTCTTGGGTGTTTTTCCTTTACTTTTTCCACCCCCTGTAGTTTTGGTCTTACCCCTTGTGGGCTCTTAGCTTTCTTGCAGTGCTCCTCTTTCGTGGCCTTCGACTGACTCCACTACCACCACCACCTTCCCTCCTACCCTTGGCTTCTACCTTCTCTTTTGCCTCCTCTTTTTTTTTTTTTTTTTTTTTTTTTTCTCTCCACCAACCCCTCTCCTTCACACTACCACTTCTACTTCCACTACTTGCCTTATCTCTACCACTACCACTTCCACTTCTTACCTTACTTCTACTCCTACCTCTTCTGTTCCATCCCTGCCAGCTTGCCTATATATACTGGCTCCTCCTCTCCTTTCTGTTAGTGTGACTTTGTAAATGGTCCAAGTCAGACCAAAACATCGTTGTAAGCTCCTCTCTTCTATATGTGGGTTATTTGTCTACCACCAGTGATTCAGCATCCTCTATGTACTGATGGTATGCACTTTTGACGCATTATACAATATGGATATTGGGATATTCACAGTACAAAAGTATTATTGAGCTGGCAAATTCTCTGAGTTAGCTAAGGTGTTTGATGTCATCATCATTAGGCATGAAGCCGCTGAAAATGTACTGTCTTTGCACTCACTCTGGGTTTGGATTTTTAATTTTATGGAACTTGGAACGAACTACACAAGTCAACATTGCTTAAGAGCAGCAAGTTAATGCTTATCGCAACTGTTATATAGAAGGAAAATCAAATTTGGTTATGGTCTACATGGATTTTGTTTACATATTTGACAAGCATGACCATGGAGTAATAGCCCATAAAATGATGTCAGTAGATACAGCAGAAAATGCAGAGAAATAGCTATTCAGATTTCTAAAAAAAAAAAAAATAGTAATAGCTATAGTAGTAGTAAACAGAAATATCTTGTCTTAGCAAAGGAAGAAAGTTCAGTACTCCAAGTCATGAACTCCAGGTAAACAGCTTCATATCATTATTGTAGATGGTACTCAAATAAGAGTTTCCTCAATGGTAGACAGAAAAATTAGATATAAAACAGTTTCAGTAGCCAAAGAAAATTATAATGAATTGCCACATATTTCAATTGCTTAGATATGGAAAGAATAAAGAACTCATAATGATCCTAGGCTACAAAACTCTGGCAGACTATCTCCCAGAACAAAAGAAGCATGTTAGAAACTTAGGAATAATACTATCAGATGACCCCTTGTTTAGAGAACACAATAAGACAAATGCAGCAAAGGTCAGAAACATACTTCATTAATGCTTTGGGGAAATAACAGGGAAAGTATTCAAGGACTCTGCTTAGCTTTGGCAGAAGCTTGTGGTCGTGTTGGAACTACTTTTCCCACAATGTATTTCTGTTTATTTTCTAAATATTTTCCAAATATGTTAATCTGGGGTAAGAACACAAAATAAATGACTGGTACAACTTTTATAATGTATCAGGTTCGTCCCTGTCTACATTATCTACAAAGAGGAAGCACACAAAATATAAACATGTTGTATATACAGTGGTGCATCATTCTTCTATCTTAGGTGAATAAATTAGCAATTGTTCACTTTTCTGTAGGGTGTATAAATCTGGGGTATTCGGAAGGAGGGATTGACCAAGAAAAGGTTTGAGGTCTGATGTACAGAAAGTTTTGAGTGGTAAGGGCTTGAACATCCCATAGATGTGTGTGTGATTGGAGACTAGTGGTTTTTTGGGATTTTGTGTGTTTTGTAGTATGAACAAGGTAGTATTTGTGAAGGTGGTGAGAAGTGTGGTGCCTAAATTTTTAGAGAGGTGGGGAGGCTTCATTTCAGAATTTCTGTGAAATTACAGAGACATCTATTGAATGAATGTTAGTGGTTCCATGTATGGGTTACTCTTTCTTGGTGGGAATGGTTGGTGTATAAAAGAATGTGTGTTCTATATACAGTGAACATTATATCAGCTACCTGCATGTTTTATTCATTATTTATGATAACCACAAATGTAGACTAGAAATGTGTGATCTTAGAGTTAGAAATGCATCTTGGACAGTCTTCCCTGTAAAGAACATAGTAAAAAACTGAACAGCACTAGATCTAAGACCAAGTGATGTAAAAAAGCATAGTAAAAAATTGAAAAATATTTGATCCAGGACCAGGTGGTGAACAGCAAGGGAGGTCAGTGAGCTAGTACAAATGTGGGGGTGGGTGAAGGAAGAGGCAGTAGGAGAGGGACAATGTTAATGTTGAGTTCTGGAAGTAGCAAGTACGATTCCTGCACTCTGAAGAACAGGTGATTATGTTGCAGTTTGGAGGTTCACTCGCCTGATGTCAGTACACTAATGCCAAGACATTGATTCATTGCATGCTGGTGAATGTGTTTCCTCTTTCTTGGGTCTACCTCTGAGAGAGCGAGCTGGTGTTTTAAAGCAAAATGATGTGGTTGTTTAATATATTTATAGATGGGGTTGTAAGAGAAGTGAATGCGAGGGTCTTGGCAAGAGGCGTGGAGTTAAAAGATAAAGAATCACACACAGAGTGGGAGTTGTCACAGTTGCTCTTTGCTGATGACACTGTGCTCTTGGGAGATTCTAAAGAGAAGTTGCAGAGATTGGTGGATGAATTTGGTAGGGTGTGCAAAAGAAGAAAATTGAAGGTGAATACAGGAAAGAGTAAGGTTATGAGGATAACAAAAAGATTAGGTGATGAAAGATTGGGTATCAGATTGGAGGGAGAGAGTATGGAGGAGGTGAATGTATTCAGATATTTGGGAGTGGACGTGTCAGCGGATGGGTCTATGAAAGATGAAGTGAATCATAGAATTGATGAGGGGAAAAAGGGTGAGTGGTGCACTTAGGAGTCTGTGGAGACAAAGAACTTTGTCCTTGGAGGCAAAGAGGGGAATGTATGAGAGTATAGTTTTACCAACGCTCTTATATGGGTGTGAAGCATGGGTGATGAATGTTGCAGCGAGGAGAAGGCTGGAGGCAGTGGAGATGTCATGTCTGAGGGCAATGTGTGGTGTGAATATAATGCAGAGAATTCGTAGTTTGGAAGTTAGGAGGAGGTGCGGGATTACCAAAACTGTTGTCCAGAGGGCTGAGGAAGGGTTGTTGAGGTGGTTCGGACATGTAGAGAGAATGGAGCGAAACAGAATGACTTCAAGAGTGTATCAGTCTGTAGTGGAAGGAAGGCGGGGTAGGGGTCGGCCTAGGAAAGGTTGGAGGGAGGGGGTAAAGGAGGTTATGTGTGCGAGGGGCTTGGACTTCCAGCAGGCATGCGTGAGCGTGTTTGATAGGAGTGAATGGAGACAAATGGTTTTTAATACTTGACGTGCTGTTGGAGTGTGAGCAAAGTAACATTTATGAAGGGGTTCAGGGAAACCGGCAGGCCGGACTTGAGTCCTGGAGATGGGAAGTACAGTGCCTGCACTCTGAAGGAAGGGTGTTAATGTTGCAGTTTAAAAACTGTAGTGTGAAGCACCCTTCTGGCAAGACAGTGATGGAGTGAATGATGGTGAAAGTTTTTCTTTTTCGGGCCACCCTGCCTTGGTGGGAATCGGCCAGTGTGATAATAAAAAAAAAAAAATAATAATAATAATCAGTTTGGAGGGATATGTTGTGTATCTTTATACGTATATACTTCTAAACTGTTGTGTTCTGAGCACCTCTGCAAAAACGGTGATTATGTGTGAGTGAGGTGAAAGTGTTGAATGATGATGAAAGTGTTTTCTTTTTGGGGATTTTCTTTCTTTTTGGGTCACCCTGCCTCAGTGGGAGATGGCCGACTTGTTGAAAAAAAAAATCAATAAAGATTATTAATTTTGTTTAGAAATAAGTGCTTGGACCTGAATGATATTAAATATAAACTGTGATGCACAGTTATTGGAAGGGCGTATTCTATATAATTGTTAGTGTTTGCCGGCCCAGGTACAAAGCAGATCTTTGCGGACCTACAATAAAGTTCAGTACAGTACTCTGTCATGGGCCTGCCTAGGTCAACTCTGTGTTGGCAGACTCTGTACATTGTATTCATACCAAGCATCAAAATTATAATAGGCAAGCTATCATGTGTATTCCCAAGCATCAGATCCCAAACCTATAAATACCACTAGTGATAAGGTTCAGAGATCAACTGGCAGTGGTAAACATCTGTATTGTCTCTTCAGCCAGACTTTCCTTGATATTTAAACAGGGTAGATCCCCTCACTACACTATAGATTCAAAGCTATGTAGGGGTGATGCTTTGACCACCAATCTTAATAGTCCTTTTGCACCATATCCGATACGTGGAGGTCAGAATGTGCCTTCCCATAGCTGGCGATGATGTGCCTGTATGGATGGCAAGGGTTGGTAAAAAAAAGCACCCATCGTGTTAATTATTAGTGACTGGACAATGTCAAGGCACAAATTACAGAAGCAACTGATCTGGGTAAATACCTTGATGTCAAAAATTATATGAATACTGAAGTTCTTTACTAGAGGATGAGCTGTAACATTGGCTGCATTGATGTTTTCCCATACAAGCAAGCAGCTCTTGGGAGCAGTCACTCAATCAGCCAAAAGGAACTCTAGACAAGAAATTGAAATAGATGTGGGATGATGCATGGGAAGGAACCATGTCAGTGTTGTGTGCAAATTTGTGCACAGAAGAGAGATCATTCGGTAGAACATCAGATGGGCATGAGAAAGCTTCGCTGCAGTGTTGTCTCAATACTGGTCTGTCACAGGTTCCCATTACACGGATGGCTTGTCCATATGAGACAAGTGTGTGTGTGTGTGTGTGTGTGTGTGTGTGTGTGTGTGTGTGTGTGTGTGGTGTGTGTGTGTGTGTGTGTGTGTGTGTACGTACTCACCTAGTTGTACTCACCTAGTTGAGGTTGCGGGGGTCGAGTCCGAGCTCCTGGCCCTGCCTCTTCACTGATCGCTACTAGGTCACTCTCCCTGAGCCGTGAGCTTTATCATACCTCTGCTTAAAGCTATGTATGGATCCTGCCTCCACTACATCGCTTCCCAAACTATTCCACTTACTGACTACTCTGTGGCTGTGTGTGTGTGTGTGTGTGTGTGTGTGTGTGTGTGTGTGTGTGTGTGTGTGTGTGTGTGTGTGTGTTGGAGTGTGTGTGTGTGTGTGTGTGTATGTGTGTATGTTAGTTTTATCTCCAGGAGTAACTGACGAAAGCAGTTTTGTGTACGGGAGGCAGCCTTTTGGAGCTCCTTCCCTGGGGTGAAAAAGGACTAGGTACTCATACAGTATTCCAAGTCCTATGAGAAACTAGGTACCAAGTGTGAATTTGACACCAGATGAGTTAAGACTCAGGATTCTCCCTAAGCCCAAAGATAATGTTAAGGAACCCGTAAGCACAAGCCTATAGCTGAAGGAGGAGAAAATGCATCGCAAATAACGAAAGTAGATTCATGGGCAAAGAGCTGGTATGAGGGTGTTAAACCAGTCAGTTATGTTCAAGGAGAAACTCCAGTGAAATTTTTGAAGGCTCCATATGGAAGGTTGTGTGCAGACAAGATCGAACAATGTCACTACATCAGAATCAGCCAGGAGATGGCATGAGGATGGAGATAGGGAAAACAAACATGCAGGTTGCATATAATCTATTTTATAATATGAGGCATTCCAGTTGAATAATAATAATTTTTTTTTACATCAAAAATGAAAATAGTACTCACCTGAGATGGTTTCCTTGTTTAAGCCAAAAAACTTACTCTAGTCATTTACCAGCAAAACAGGGTACCCCAGAGAAAGAAAATATATTGATCATTGCTCATTCTCTAGCTGTATTGCATATTATGTACTGAAGTATAACATCCCACCCATACACTTTTACATGTAAAGCTTTCAGTGTTTAACTGCATTCTTTTAACCTCAAGGAAGATTCCTTAATGATGGTGAGGGGTTTTTGATCCAAGGAAGTGAACTTGTTTTCCCCTTCCTTAGATAAAAACAGATTGCCTCCTATTCCCAGGTGCTGTATGACCCCTACTGTTTTAGTGTTTTCCCCCTAAATGTAATAATTATAATAATCCTAGGTAGTAGGTTGGTAGACAGTAACCACCCAGGGAGGTACTACTGTCCTGCCAAGCGAGTGTGAAACGGAAGCTTTTAATTGTTTTACATGATGGTAGGATTGCTGGTGTCTTATTTTCTGTCTCATAAGCATGCAAGATTTCAGGTATGTCTTGTTACTTCTACTTGCACTTAGGTCACACTACACATACATGTACAAGCATATATGTACACACCCCTCTAGGTATTCTTCTATTTTCTTTCTAGTTCTTGTTCTTGTTTATTTCCTCTTATCTCCATGGGGAAGTGGAACAGAATTCTTCCTCCATAAGCCATGCGTGTTGTAAGAGGCGACTAAAATGCCGGGAGCAAGGGGCTAGTAACCCCTTCTCCCGTATAAATTACTAAATTTAAGAGAAACTTTCGTTTTTCTTTTTGGACCACCCTGTCTTGGTGGGATATGGCCGGTGTGTTGAAAGAAAGAAGCATGCAAGGTTTCGGGTATGTCTTGCTACATCTACTTACACTTAGGTCACACTACACATACATGTACAAGCATATATATACACACACATCCTCCTGGATTTTCTTCTATTTTCTTACTAGTTCTTGTTTATTTCCTCTTATCTTCATGGGGAATTGGAAAAGTATTCTTCCTCCATAAGCTAAGCATGTCGTAAGAGGTGACTAAAATGCCAGGAGCAAGGGACTAGAAACCCCTTCTCCTGTATACATTACAAAATTTAAAAAGACACACTTCAATTTTTCTTTTTAGGTCACCCTGCCTCAGTGGGATATGGCTAGTTGATGGAAAAATAAATAAAATTATTCACTGCATGCATTTTTGTTAAGTAAAGATATCAAACTATTTTAGTTATTATACCACTTAAATACAGCTTCTCCTCACTTAATGACAGAGTTCCCTTCCTAAGATTTCATCAGTAAATGAATTCGTCACTCTAATGTTACCTTTACACCATTTATAACATTTTTAGTATATTTTTAAATGTTTATACAGTAATGTACTGTATATTGTATGGGTCCACATCCCTTTATCTGAAATTCTGAAATTCAAAAAGTTCAGAAAACCAAAGTTTTTTTGTGGAATGTGGAGCATCAGTCATCTCAGCATAACTCCAATGCCACCATGTGGTGGTGTGACCCAGCACTGACAGCCAGAGTGGCAGGCGTCAGTTGTGTCTCAGTGCTTGTAGTGTTCACATGTGTGTCTACTGTTTCGCCGATATTTTGTTTTTGCTGAAAATCTGTGGTGAAAAAGCTTCTGCTGACCATGAAGCAGTTGAAAATTGCATTGACGAATTTGTCAAGATAATACCTGACGAAAACCTTAGTCCTGAACAAATTTACAGTGCTGATGAAACAGCTCTGTACTGGCTCTGTGTTCCTAGAAAAACATTAACAATGATTGATGAGAGAGTACCAACAGGTTTTAAGGATGCTAAGGACAGGTTAACTATTCTTGGGTATGCCAGTGCTGCAGGCACACACAAGGTGAAGATGGCAGTGATTGGAAAATGCAAACATCCGAGTTGTCTGAAAGGTGTACGCAGTTTACCTGTGCATTATTATGCCTACGAGAGAACACGGGTAACCTGAGAAATGTTTTTCGACTGGTTCAATAACCACTTCATACCAGCTGCACGAGCTCATTACAGGCAACCTGGACTAGAAGAAAACTGTAAAATTTTATTGTAAAATTTTATCCCCCTGCCGAACTTCTTGTGAAAAGTAATGTTTTCGGCATCTATGGTGTTAAATACAAATTAACATGAGAATAGTATTACTCTGTAAGTAAATTATGTACTCTATAAATATATTACTCTTTAAATAAACCGTAGTAGTATTGGTAGTCTTTATTTATCCCACTTAGCATGAATATTCAAACGTTTTTGCTGCAGTGTTAATGTTTGATTATGGGGTGCTGTCCTAGACTCCACCTTCATTCTGAAATTTGAAACACTACTGGCCCCAAGGGTTTCAGATAAATGGATGTGGATCTGTAATAAACAGAATAGAGGAAATCAGCTCTAATATTCATTATTTAGGTATGAATACTCATCAGAGCCTGTCACAAGTCTGAGTCGTCGGTAAACGAGTATGTCAATAAGTGAAGAGAGGCTGTACTTCATGTTATTTACCATTGTGTGTGTCTTAATAGTTAACTTTTCATAACTTGCAGGATGACATTACAGAACAAGTGGTGGAGACGCTTTTATATTTTATGGATTCACCTGATATGAACCTTCGTTACTACACTTTACAAGCTTTGGGGTTTGTCTGTATTCGCCATTATGAATTGATGATGGGGAATCGCTTGAAACAGCTATATCACATGTTGTTACTAGAGCCATCTGTAAGCAGTCAACTTCGAATACAAACCCTTCAAAATATTGAGACTTACCTCCAGGAGGAAGAGGTTCGCATGATCAAGCAAGACCAAGAATGTGAGTCATTTTCTTAATATTGTTGTATAGGTAATTGATTGATATAATATTTTCTTAATACTTTTTTGTACCTATGTTTGCATGTACTACCTATGTTTGCTTGAATACTGTTTGTGTAAATGATTTTGAATATATAAATGTGTTGTATTACAGAAATTTAAGCCACTGCTTTTGACTTCTATAGAAATATTTAATTTTGTTGGTAATGAGAAGTTTTACTAGTTAAAAGGTTAGGATTTTATTCTTATAAATTTTCATAGGTAATGAGAGCCAACCAATCTGGTATCTATAATACATGTTTGCATTCATATGTGAAGAATAATGGAAAACCCTGTAGTTTAAGCTACTTACTGTAAACCTGAAATGAGCAAATATATAATACAGTATACCCTTGATTTACCCAGTCCTAGAAAAAGTGAATTTAGCAACATGCGATTGAAAAAGTGCAACAATAATTCAGGTCACTCAGATAAGGTGTGAACAGTAAATTTGGGTCTAGATATGAGAGAATGGGTCTATGCAGTAAGTGTGCACCTTTAAAAAAAAAAAAAAATCCTGCAGCCGGCTGTACATAATGAGAAAAATGCGACCATGTTTATGGTTTAAAACGGCAACTTTGCAGTGTGTTTTCATATATTTTTTGTTGTATTCTTGGTCTCTTATGATAAAATAGAAGATACCTGGGGAGGGTTTCAGGGGTCAACGCTCCCACGGCCCAGTATGAGACCAGGCCTCATGGTGGATCAGGGTCTGATCATCCAGGCTGTTACTGCTTGCTGCAAGCAAATTACCATAAGAGCTACAGCCCGGCTGATCGGGTACTGACTTTAGGTGCCTGTCCAGTGCCTTCTTGAAGACAGCCAGGGGTCTATTTGTAATCCCCCTTGTGTATGCTGGGAGGCAGTTGAACAGTCTTGGGTCTCTGACACTTATTGTGTTGTCTCTTAGTGTACTTGTAGCAGCACCCCTGCTTTTCATTGCAGGAGTGTTGCATCTCCTACCGTGTCTTTTGCTTTCATAGGGAGATTTTTGTGTGCAAGTTTGGTACTAATCCCTCTAGGATTTTCCAAGTTTATATTATCATGCATATTTTTCTCCTGCATTCCAGGGAATACAAATCAGTAGACATGATTTTGATTGGTTTCAGGCCTGAAAGTAGTTTAAAATTGAGCTCAAAGTAGCGAAAATGTTCAATTTTTACCGATGTTACAGAGGACACAAATTACTTCATTCATTCAATACATGTCCATCCATTCGGTCTAATACGTGTCCACAAATGCAGAGCATAGGCAATGGGGTCGAAGAGGTATGGGGTAGGTTTAAAAATGTAGTGTTAGAGTGTTCAGCAGAAGTTTGTGGTTACAGGAAAGTGGGTGCAGGAGGGAAGAGGAGCGATTGGTGGAATGATGATGTAAAGAGAGTAGTAAGGGAGAAAAAGTTAGCATATGAGAAGTTTTTACAAAGTAGAAGTGATGCAAGGAGGGAAGAGTATATGGAGAAAAAGAGAGAGGTTAAGAGAGTGGTGAAGAAATGTAAAAAGAGAGCAAATGAGAGAGTGGGTGAGATGTTATCAACAAATTTTGTTGAAAATAAGAAAAAGTTTTGGAGTGAGATTAACAAGTTAAGAAAGCCTAGAGAACAAATGGATTTGTCAGTTAAAAATAGGAGAGGAGAGTTATTAAATGGAGAGTTAGAGGTATTGGGAAGATGGAAGGAATATTTTGAGGAATTGTTAAATGTTGATGAAGATAGGGAAGCTGTGATTTCGTGTATAGGGCAAGGAGGAATAACATCTTGTAGGAGTGAGGAAGAGCCAGTTGTGAGTGTGGGGGAAGTTCGTGAGGCAGTAGGTAAAATGAAAGGGGGTAAGGCAGCCGGGATTGATGGGATAAAGATAGAAATGTTAAAAGCAGGTGGGGATATAGTTTTGGAGTGGTTGGTGCAATTGTTTAATAAATGTATGGAAGAGGGTAAGGTACCTAGGGATTGGCAGAGAGCATGCATAGTTCCTTTGTATAAAGGCAAAGGGGATAAAAGAGAGTGCAAAAATTATAGGGGGATAAGTCTGTTGAGTGTACCTGGTAAGTGTATGGTAGAGTTATAATTGAAAGAATTAAGAGTAAGACGGAGAATAGGATAGCAGATGAACAAGGAGGCTTTAGGAAAGGTAGGGGGTGTGTGGACCAGGTGTTTACAGTGAAACATATAAGTGAACAGTATTTAGATAAGGCTAAGAGGTCTTTGTGGCATTTATGGATTTGGAAAAGGCGTATGACAGGGTGGATAGGGGGGCAATGTGGCAGATGTTGCAAGTGTATGGTGTAGGAGGTAGGTTACTGAAAGCAGTGAAGAGTTTTTACGAGGATAGTGAGGCTCAAGTTAGAGTATGTAGGAAAGAGGGAAATTTTTTCCCAGTAAAAGTAGGACTTAGACAAGGATGTGTGATGTCACCGTGGTTGTTTAATATATTTATAGATGGGGTTGTAAGAGAAGTAAATGCGAGGGTCTTGGCAAGAGGCGTGGAGTTAAAAGATAAAGAATCACACACAAAGTGGGAGTTGTCACAGCTGCTCTTTGCTGATGACACTGTGCTCTTGGGAGATTCTGAAGAGAAGTTGCAGAGATTGGTGGATGAATTTGGTAGGGTGTGCAAAAGAAGAAAATTAAAGGTGATACAGGAAAGAGTAAGGTTATGAGGATAACAAAAAGATTAGGTGATGAAAGATTGAATATCAGATTGGAGGGAGAGAGTATGGAGGAGGTGAACGTATTCAGATATTTGGGAGTGGACGTGTCAGCGGATGGGTCTATGAAAGATGAGGTGAATCATAGAATTGATGAGGGAAAAAGAGTGAGTGGTGCACTTAGGAGTCTGTGGAGACAAAGAACTTTGTCCTTGGAGGCAAAGAGGGGAATGTATGAGAGTATAGTTTTACCAACGCTCTTATATGGGTGTGAAGCGTGGGTGATGAATGTTGCAGCGAGGAGAAGGCTGGAGGCAGTGGAGATGTCATGTCTGAGGGCAATGTGTGGTGTGAATATAATGCAGAGAATTCGTAGTTTGGAAGTTAGGAGGAGGTGCGGGATTACCAAAACTGTTGTCCAGAGGGCTGAGGAAGGGTTGTTGAGGTGGTTCGGACATGTAGAGAGAATGGAGCGAAAACAGAATGACTTCAAGAGTGTATCAGTCTGTAGTGGAAGGAAGGCGGGGTAGGGGTCGGCCTAGGAAGGGTTGGAGGGAGGGGGTAAAGGAGGTTTTGTGTGCGAGGGGCTTGGACTTCCAGCAGGCATGCTTGAGCGTGTTTGATAGGAGTGAATGGAGACAAATGGTTTTTAATACTTGACGTGCTGTTGGAGTGTGAGCAAAGTAACATTTATGAAGGGATTCAGGGAAACCGGCAGGCCGGACTTGAGTCCTGGAGATGGGAAGTACAGTGCCTGCACTCTGAAGGAGGGGTGTTAATGTTGCAGTTTAAAAACTGTAGTGTAAAGCACCCTTCTGGCAAGACAGTGATGGAGTGAATGATGGTGAAAGTTTTTCTTTTTCGGGCCACCCTGCCTTGGTGGGAATCGGCCGGTGTGATAATAAAAAAAAAAAAAAAAAAAAATGCACTGACAGTATTTATACAATTTTTAGAATATTGCAGTAGTCTGCATAACAGTTAGTATATCTTTTTTTTTTTTTTTTTTTTTTTTTTTTTTTGTGAATAAAAATTCAAACTGGTAAGCAAGTGTAATATATAGGAGAGGCTTGATGAACAGAGGAAAAGTTGTTTTAGTGCCAGGAATGTCTACATTGTTTATTCTTGACCCTATTTTGAAATGACAATTTTTTTATTTTGTGTGAAATTGATCACTTTTTTGGGTAGTTGAATTAAGTAAATGGGCGGTTTCTTGTACTCAATCAGTAGAATAGAAGGAATACTAGCGAAATAGCTATGAGTCTGGTCGACTGGAACAATGAAATTGAAAATAGAGCTCAAAGTGGGTAAAGTGGTCTATGCATAAACATCACTGAGATTGCTAAATTTGCTAGAGGGTAATTCCGTAAGTTTTCCATCAAATTTCATACTTTTGGTTTCATTACCTCCAGAAAAAGATTCTTTGTCATTTCATAAGAATTTTTTTTTTTTAACCTGTTAACTGTCCAAACATTGATCTAGCTTCTTCCCGCTAGCGCACCAAACGTAGATCTATGTTTTATTTTTCCTGCCTCCAATTTTGCATGATTGGCCTGAGATGCCTGGTCAACATAGAATGGGTCTTAATACTCGGTGTGTGCAGTATTAAACACAATCTGGGACTACTTAGTACCTTGTGGGAGCACCAGTTCAATTGAGCACCGGCTAGAGCAAACAGCGCGGCAAGCACCAAGGATTCACCGATGTCATGTCGTATTAAAACTCCCCTTTTAAGAGGAAAGTGATGTTGACCCCCATTAGTGACTTTGAGGTGGATGTGGCTACAGGTGGTTGCAGAAATATAAAAAACCTTGATAATAACATAACCAATGTGCCACATTTGTGCAACACTCTTTCAATTTTGGTACCACTGGTAGTGTCATCCTGCCATCTTGTCGTACTGGCCAGCCAGCCGGCGGCTGGTTGACTGTCTCTATCTCCATCTGTCTGTATCTGTCTCTTTCTCTGTCTCTGTCTCACAGGTACACATACATAAATACAATTATAAATTGTATAAATTACCTAGGATAACTCAAAAAATCCACACAAAGTGCTGTACTGTGCTAGTAGATATAATGCATAATAAGCATGACTGGCAAGTAATATGCATTTTCACTTTTTCAGGAATCAAATGTGATTTTAATACCAGTTGTTTCATGAGAAACTCTTGAGACAAGAGAGACTCAGGCAGACAGAAAGACAGATACACACAAAGGAAGGCAGAAAGACAGACAAGCAGACACACAGAAAAACAGATACACAGGCAGACAGAAAGATAACAGACATAGCTAGACAGACATGTTCATGTGTAACGGTGAA